ATCAGGTGGGAAGGAAGCAAATAAATTTTCAAATTTTCAATTCCTACAATTAATAGGGTGTGTGTGTGTCTCACTATAGTTGGGGGAGGGGGAATGGTTGTCTGATGCAAGTCTGGTAGTGAGTCTATTTGTGCTGGGTTTTGTTTTTTTCTGGACTTCTAAAAAAGTTCTTTCGAGATTCAACCAAATGTTATGACAGGGTGATCGAAAGCCGGAGGAAGCATTTCCTGTCGTGATTCCCTGGCAGTGACCAGCCCTGCGCCCTGCTCACCCCACACCCGCTGCCTCAGGAGCAGCTAGCGCCCAGTGGCCCGCAGGGGCAGGCGCGGTCGGGGACACAAGGTTCGTGGGCCATGGAGGCTTGGCATTGGGCTTGCTCTGGTTTTTCTTCTGGGAGGGAAAATGGGCATAGTTCAGTAAGATTTTCAAGATTGGAAACTCTGGGTCGTTTTCAATTGAGCTTCTGGTCGTCGAGTCCCCTTTCCCTCTTCGAGGGTCCAGAGAACGCAAGACCAGGGGTGCAACTTTCAAGGAGTCTCCCTCTACCCGCTTTGAAGCTTTGAATGGCAAAGCACAGCCGCCGGCTTTGAAGGCGATTTGGCGACTTCGATGCCCCGGGCAAGGCACAGGTCGAACCTGATTCCTGGAGAAGCCCACCGGGGAGTCAGTTCCCTCGCAGCCAGCCGGTGCCAGAGCACTCTCCTGACCTAATCCCGACTTTGGGCTCCCTGTTGCGGGCTCCCTTGCCCTCCCGCGTTTTCCTTGGAAGCAGCCCCCAGAAGCAGAAACTCTGGCCTGCTACCACCATTTGCTCCCCGCTGGTCCCCGCCCCCCGGATCCTACCCCCACACCGAGTGAACCGTGTCACCCTCCCCACGCCCCACAGCGTCGCGCCTTTTTTAACCGCTTCAGGGTTTCCTGGGCTGAGCGGGCGGGAAACAGAGGGTTCCGCTGCTGAACCTCTCCCTAGCCCCTAGCCCACGCCGAATCCTCTCCAAATACAGGCTCGATTGTGAAAGAACCCGGTGGTGGGCGGGCGTGGGAACGTTACCCCAGGACTGTGGAGAGTTTGGCAAAGTCTCGGGAACACTAACTAGTGCTTCCCCCAGGGGAATTTTCTTCGCCTCGGAGCGAGCGCGAGGTGTCCGAGGTTTTGGCACTAACCGCAGCCTCTCCTTTTCTCCAGCCCCTTTCAGGACACCGGATCTACAACCTTAAACTTTCTCCTTTGGTTGAAAAGTCGGCTGTGGCCAGCGACCCCAGCTGAGGCCACGACAAGGGCTAGCTGCTACGGGGTTAACTGAAAGCCCAGCGCCCAGAGGTCGCCTGAGGCCCTGTGGGTCGAGGCCAGGCGCTCTGTTTGCAGCAGGGATTCTAAGAGGACTCTAACAGAGCTTGCTGAAACAGGCGTTCCCTTTTCCAGATCATATTCCTCATAAAATCTAAAGCCAGATACATCGCTTGGGCATGCTCCCATTTCACCTCGAGAAAAGTGGATTTGTTTCCAAACTGGACTTGACATCGAGGTCTCTGTTGCGGGTTCCTGTGGCAAGCTCAAAGGAGAGGGCTTTCGATGACTCTAGGAACTGTACAAAGGGACAGAAGTTTGTTCATTTAAGTAATAATCTTAGCTCAGCCAAAGCATTAGTTGTGATTTTTTATTATAAAACGGAGAATGCAGAATTTAAAAAAAAAATGACACGTGCATTCTTGCGCTTGCTGTTTGTTTAGAAAGAACCGAAGGGACAAGCAACTTCATAGTTACAGGCGCCCACTTTAGCAGCAACACCCTATGGAACAGGTTCATGAAAAAATGTCACTTTCAAGAGAGAGAAAAGTAGCCATACGTGAAACTAAAAGGCTAGCTTGGTGAAAACAGACCTTTTTATAATCTCTTGAGTCAAAACCAGCTTTTGCTGAGTAATTTTATTTTTAAGAAATGAGGGGAGGCTAATAAGAGCATGAGTGTCTATTTCACGGGTATCTCGCTCACCAATGTAAATAGAAATGTGGGTAGAGTGGGCCTTCCTTTTCACGGTTAGGGCTGTCTGGTATTTACCAATGTGGTTATGAGGGTAGAAATAAAAAACCAACCCATCTTTTGGAATGACAAAACATTAGGTGGAAATCAACTCTGCCTCCCCAAGATTCGACCTAGAGAACGCCATTCTGCGGCTCTGAAAGACAAGGCCATTTCTGGAGTCATGTGGTTAAATAAATTATTGGTGAAGCCTAGTCCAAACAATGCAAATACATACAAGGACTCCTGTCTCCGGTTTTACAGAGCGAATGACCTCAGTGCGAAAGCGCCTCGAGCAGCTGGAGGGGTAATGGTCGTCTGCTAAGTCCGTCAGATCAGGTGTGGGTGAGCAAACCGTCGACTCACTTAGCCTCTGCAGGTCTTTCCAACACCTGCCCAGACCCACAGAGACTGCTAGAACAAAGGTGTTAGTAAATAAAATAAAGTGTGTGTTAAGGAAAGTATGGGGGTGGGAGCTAGAGGGAAGACTGTGAGAGCTGCTTGAAGACGAATCTATCTGTGCTGGCTGTCTGTGGGGGAAGTGGGGGAAGCCAGGACACATTTTAGCTGACCAGATTGACACCAGCTGCCCTTCCTGAGAGCGCCAGTTGTGTTTAGTTACCTTCACCTCCTGAAGATGCCTTCCCTCAACTGCTAAAGTCTGCAGTCCATAAGGCCTCCCACCTGCCTCTTTCAAACCTGCCCAGGCCGTCTTTGTGGCTGCAGTGACTCCCATGAAATGGAGAGAGATGCCCCTAGAGTTTCGTTAAGTCTTTAAATTGTATAGAACTTTGGTTGTTTGCGTGTGGGCGGAGTGCTTATCCAATTCGAGCAGAGCAAGAATTCAGTGGGCCTGGAGTCCCAAGAGGCCTTTGCGCGACCTTGCGGCGCTCCTCCACTCCTAGCCAAGACTCCGCTAAGAGATCTGCCAGGAAGCCCAACTCGCTCTGTGCCACACTCATTCACTTCTGCAGGGTCCCAAACAGTCTTCAACTTCAATATTTCCATGCAAGATTGGTATAGAATCCATGTCGGCTTTTCCGGAGGTAGGGGAAGCCTCACCGCCCAGAACAGAACCTAGCAACTCCCGGGCTTCCTCTAAGAACAGCTTACCCCCACCTTGGCCAATCTTTACCACCCCACACTTTGGCCTACCACCGACGCCCCGAGGGAAGTGGCTGTGACTGATGCGCTCCGAGTGCTTTCGTTTTACTTTCGTTCCCTCTTCTCCGGCTGGAAAGACCGCGAAAAGAACAAAGTGGGGGCGGAAAGCGGGTGTCTTAACAAAATAGCTGAGACACTGAGACTTAGCCAGGAGACAGGGGACGGGAACCATGACCATGCCTTGTCAAACTCTGACTCTGGCAGGGGTGGGGAAGATCGGGAGGCCTTAACTTGTTTACTAAATGCAAAGAAACGTGACTTGTAGATACTGCTGCAGTCAAACTGTAAAGAAACGAATTTGCTTTCTTAAGATGCTTGTTTCCCAAATGCTGAAAGCAGAATGGAGTAGAAAGGCAGAAAGGTGAGTAGCTAGGGCCTTTGGATAAATTGCAAAGACAATGGAGAAGAAAGAACGAGCTTCAGCCCCTTGGCTCTACAAACCACCAGGAGTGGGCGACCAAAGCCTGTCAGGCCTGCAGCTCCAAGCTTTGGAAAGGAAGCTACCACCAAGAAAGTTCGCTTTGTATTGTCTCGCTTCCTTTCTTAAGCAAGGGCACACACGACCAGCTTGAAACTCACGCTCTAAGCCTTAGAATCTGAGGTCTTCTTTTAAAAAGGAAAAGAAAGCGGGCCTAAACCTGGAAAGGTTTCCCAAAGTCAAGAAAACCTATCGCTTCACCAACTAACTCCTAGGAAAGCGCTACCAGGTTCGGACCCGTCCCTCTTTTCAACTTGGAAGCCCAGCACTGTGTGTAGGGGCCCTGCCCGAGAGGGATGGTGGTCCGAACTTGGGGGTGGGTGGAGGTCCTTCTAAATTGTTTACCACTCTCTAGTTGCCAGGAAAGGTCCAGAGCGTTTCCTGTCCTCATTCCAGCTCAGCCTGTTTTCCTGAGCCAGAGATCTGGTGGCTAACTTATTTTATTCTGATCCTGCAAAGTCCAACTGCGTTCTAAATCAACCTCTCAGGAAAAGAACCAGAAACTACGGAAGTTTATTACGCTTAAACTAGCCACTAGAGCTTGTCCTTATTGTAAGGCCTTCCTTTCGTGTTTACCTCCTCCTTGTTTACACCGAGCTCAGCCAAGGCTTTAGGCCAGCGGGGAGCTCAGTTTCACTTTGGGGTATGGAGGGGCCTATCACTTCGTCTTCGGGGTTTAAAGGCAAGTTTTACCGCTTTTCCTCAATTACTCCTGTGACAGAACAGTACGTGCTCAATAAGTGTATTCCTCTTGTCAAGGATAGGATCTGCAAACTCCTCTGTCTTTAACCAGCTAGGAAAAGCCAGAATAAAGCTAGCGCAAAGCCAGCTGCACCTGCGAGGGAGAACGTCCTTCCCGCGCTTCGTGCGCCCCGCGCTTTTGCCTGGGAGCAGCTGCGAGCCACCCCCGCACCACTCACGCCTGTGGGCCATCAGTGCGCGGAGCGAGGCCTAGCACCCAGTGCCCGCCGGTGCCGCCGCACGAGGGGACAGAGGGACTTGTCCAGGCCGTGGGCTCCCAGGCGAGGCCCAAACGCGCGCGCACTCTGGCAAGCAAGGCGGTGGCGCTCCCTGAGACAGAAGGGGATAGAGACGCAAGAGCGCGCAGGACGCTCGGGGCCACTCCGCACGAGGCGTGGGTGCGAGGATTCCCCCATCGGGTGGCGAGAGAACCGGTACCTAGGTCGTGCGCACCACCGGGGTTCGCGACCCCAGCCACGGGCTGGGGAGCGCAGCTGGGCGGAGGCCGCTGCCACGGCACCGGGCGGGAGGCGCACAGCCCGCGGGAGCTGGTTTTCCCGGGAGGGCACGTGACGGGGTTGGCAGCTCTCGGGCCCAAGCTGGGGGAGGGGGAAGTGGCGAGCAGGAGGCCGGGGGCGGGCGGCTGGCGCGCTGTGTACTTAGGTCGTGTGCTGGGGCTTTTCTCTCCAGGGAGCCGGCCGAAGGGCGGGGGAGGGGCCACCGCTCCGCCTTCTTCTTTTCGCAATGTTGACGCAATCTATAAATAGTGGAACAAAAGGACCAACTTCCTCGGAGCTTTGCTGAAACTGCACAAAAAATCGAGCTGGGGGGTTCCCTGGTCCCCGGCGTTGGGGCGGGGAGCGCTGCGCCGAGGGAGGGGGCGGCGCAGACCGGCCTAGGGGACACCTGGCCGAGCGCAGCCGCCGCTCCGCTCGAGCCCTGCGCTCCAGCGTCCCCACTAGCTGGAGAGCTCGCCCGGACCGGGGGTCTTCCTCCGCCGCTGACAGGTCAGTGCGCACCGCCCCTTTCAACGCTGGCTTCTTTTTCTCCCTCCTCCAGCCTCCACTTTTAGAAAGCAACCGTGCGGGGGGGGGGGCAGAAAATAGAACGAGGCGCAGCAGCAACAGTCAAAAGATCTGTAACCCCAGCCGCGCACCCGGGGAGGGGGTGTGAGTGAGGGGCTCTAGGAGGCGATCTGTGCGTGGCCCCCCGTGAGAGACGAAGCTCGGAGTGCAGGGGGGTGCAGAGCGGGCCGCAGGGTGAGGGGAGAGGGCTCCCGGGAGGCCGTGTGTGCCTCTGGCTCCCTTTGGAGCGCAGACCTGCAGAGTCCGCCTGGTCCTCGGCGGGAGGAATGAGTGGAGAAGCGCTGTCGCCGCCCCAGCGCCCTGCGCGCCCGGAGTTTGGGGGGCAGGGTGGGAGAGGGGGCACCCAGCACTCCCAGAGCGGGGACCTGAGCTCCGAAGCCCACCGCGTCGCTGTGAAGGGGACGCCGAGGCAAGGGAAAGGGCGGAGCTGGCACTGTTGACAGCGGTGCGGGAGCACGGAGGGTGAAAGTTGGGGAGAGGAGGCAGGAGAGGTGGGAGTCTGACTGGTGGCGGGGGGAGCGCGCGCGCGGGATTCGGAGGGGCGTGGATCACGTGATGGGCAGCCACCCCCGCTACAGGCTGGCGGTAGGGGTGACGTCACCACCCTGCCTGCTGGGGGTGGCACTTCCGTTTTCTTTCCCCCAGGGCTGCTCCACAGCCTGCTGCACCGTCAGAGGGGTGGGGGTAGTTGTCCGAGGTCATCAGGTGGTTTGGCTGCAGCCCGGAGGCCGGCGCGGGGGTCTGAAACCCTAGCTGGACTGCCTTCCATTTGCCCCATTGTGTGTTCAGTGGGCGAGGGCGGTGCCCGGTGCCAGCGCCCTCCTCCCCCCTCCCCCCGCTCGGTCGCTCCGAGCTCCAACTGGGCGGGGAGAACTCTGTATGGTCAAGGCCAAGTCTGGCCACCAGCGGGATCTTGAGCCCAGCCCTCGAGGTCTGAGGGACTAGGGTCTCACTCGCTGGACTCGCCCTCTGGGCGCCAGGTGGTTAGGAACCCATCCTGTGGCTGGGCTCCACGGCCCAGCCTGGTGGGTGTGTGGTCAGAGTCCTCCCCACTGGAGCGACTCGATTCCAGCAGTCCTTAAGAGCTATTTTGAGGAAACTCTGGGTTTTGGTGACTCAGCTCGGTGAGCGCTATTTATAGGTAGGTGAGTTAAGAGCAGGGAAATACGCTTCGCTGGGATCGGTCCGCCCTATTACTGCAAAGATCTCTGTTAAGAAGCAACAATTAAAAAGTCTTATGAAAGAAAAATATTTGGTTCTTAGAATCTGTGTTGTAGGTAGGGCGGTGGTGCCACAGACCTTTCAGACCTTTAATCCCAGCACTTGGGGAGGCAGAGCCAGCCTAGTGTATATAGTAAATTCCAGGACGGCCACGGCTGCACAGAGAAACCCTATCTCAAAAAAAAAAAAAAAAAAAAAAAAATCTGTGTTGTAAGACACTGGTCAGGAGGAGAAGACTACTGAGAACAGTGTAAATAGAGCATTTTTTCCGGAGTAAATGGAAAATTTGGGGACTGTCATGACCATTAGCAGGCTTTTGGATAGAGGTTACTGAACCAGGAGTAAAGACCCAACACCTCTCCTAGACAGCTGCTGCATGGAATACAGAGAGAATGAAGTAAAGGGGAACTAACGCTGCAAAGTCCCAACACAATATTCTATAACAGGGGTGTGTGTGACACTTATCTAGCATCAAAAGGCGGGCCTGGTGGAATTACACGTTTATCATTTTTATCACCCAATTTCTTCCAAGAATGTGCAACAAAAACGTGTGTACTGAAGCCTGCATTTCTTCACTAGTGTGTAAAAATGCCATACAAGTCAGTGCTCTTTTGGGTTTCGTGATGTTAATTTTTACATCCTACAGCTTTAGAAACCCAGGGGGCATAAGTTAGAAAGAGTGTGAGGCTGCTGGCCAGAAGGCAAGAGTTAAGTGAGTCTTTTAGCCTGCCTAGCTTCCCTTAAGTAGTGTAACCTAGGGAGTCTCTTGGGAAAAAAAAAAAAAGATGATGTTTCCTTGGGTGCCCAAAGCCAGGTTGATCAGCTGAGAATAGGAAAGAGTGTCCAAAGGAGAACAAAATAGAGTGCACATCGGGGCCTGTAGTCAGCTAGATAGATGTGGGATGGATGGTGGGTGAGGGCTTTGCAAAGGGTTAAGAAAGAAACTGAACAAATTGATAGTCAGGTCCTTCGTTGTTATTCAGAGTAATCATGCCGAGGAATTTTTATTTTTAGCATTTCAGGGTGAACAGATATCATCTTGAGATAGGAAAAAAAAACCAACACAAAACAAAGTGATTTTCTTTCTTCTCCTACAAATCAACAGTAAAATTTATCACGGAGCTTCAAAGGGTTACTCTGTAAGCCAGTTATTGTGATGCCTCAGCTCAGAGTCTTAAGGGAAAACCTCACTGTGCCTTGTCAGGGTCCTCCAGAATTAAAATATGGAATATCAAAGAACTATGAGCTAAGAAAGAAACTGCTAGTAGAACTGGGAAGATGACTCCAAGAGAAGTCATTAGCTATTTGAAGGCAAAGGCTACACAGGTTCTGGTCTCTGGGTGAGGAGGCTCTGACCTCGGGGCAGGACAAGTAACACATAATTTTAACTATGGGAGGCCTTTCCCAGGGGTGTTGGAGATAAAATCTGGCTTTCTGAGGTCACTGAAATATAGGTAGTAGTTAAAGCCATGGAGAGGCTAAGAGGCTAGTTAGCCAGGAACTCTAGGCTACTCATACTCAGGGAAAGTCTGGGGCAGGAGGGAGCTCTTAAGGAGAAGGCTAAGTAACAGCAGTATTGTCCTTAGTGCATGGCTACTGTAATATCAGTCCTGCTACTTGAGAATAAAGAGAACACTGTTGCTCCCTTTATAATACCAAGAAGAGCCACACTTGGTGCTTAGTACTTGCAATCCACTTGGGAGGCTGAGGCAGGAAGATTACCATGAGTTCAAGGCCAAAATGTACTATAGAATATGACTATCTCCAAATCAAAATGGGACTGAAAAGACTTACACTATCAGTGAAAAAGAAAGTATAAGAGTTGTGTGGTCTCCCATTGTTACAGTACATTCTGAATTACTTTAAAATCAACAGTTACTTAGTAAATGAGCTTAACTATGTCAAGGGAACTACAAGTAGCACATTTCTTTGAATAATCAAGGTAAATAATGTATTCCCTATAACCTTATAGCTTTTACAATTCTCCTTAAGCTTCTGTTACCAATGTATCTTCAGTGTTAGGTTAAATATGCTTCCATTTTAGAGATGGAAATAGTGGTTGGGCTACTTTAATAAATTCATGTTCTTCTAAAGGCAATTCAAAATACTTTTGTAATTGCATAATTATGTTTATGAGTCAAAAGCACTATAAACTCATAATATACACATTTTAAAATACGTATATCCAGGGCCTAGAGAGATGGCTCAGCTCTTAAGAGCATGTACAATTCTTCCAGAGGACTGGAGTTTGCTTCTCAGCATCTATTCTTGGAAAACTCAGATTTGTCTGTTACCCCAATTCCAAGGACATCTGTTACCTCTGGCCTCTATGACGTGCGCGCGTGTGCGCACGCCCGCGCGCGAGCATGCACCACACACAATACATATAATTAAACAAAATAAAAATAGATTTTAAAGTCAAGTATTATACCCATATAGTGAACAAATAGATATTTATGAGCCTTTTGTGGGTCACTTAATGATTTTTTTTTTAGTAGCTTCTGAAAAAAAAAAAACTTTTTATTTTTAAATTCTTCTACAGCAGTGATTTTTTTTTTTTTTAATGGACACAGCATTCAGATTACATTAACATACTTTGTTATCAGGGCCCAAACAATTCCACTTCCCTGTGGCTTCATAGCTACCATGGAGGCAGCCCAGTGGAACTTAAGTAAACACTTTTAGATGACATAATGCAGTCTGAAGGAGGGACAGCCTCGACCGAACTGTACTCCATAGATTAGCACATGCTGTTGTTCCATGTGCCAGAATGCTTGCTACCCTAGTGTGATGGCTATTCTTGGTTGCCAACTTGACTGCATCTGGAATCAACTAAAACCCAAATGGCTGGATACACTTGCGAGGGATTTTTTTCTTAGTTAAATCATTTGAAGTGAAATGATTTCTAATCCACTGCTAATGCAGATCTTTGAGATGGGAAGATACACATCTAACCCAGATAATTAAAGGTCCACCTTTAATATGGGCCACATCTTCTGCTGGCACCCTATAAAGAGGACACAGAAAAAGGAAGCTTGCTCCTTCTCTTTGCCAGCTTCCTCTTCTCTCTCGTAAGTTGATTAAGTTGATTTCTTCACTGGCATCAGATCAGCTGGGACATCCAGCCTCATGGACTGAACAATTGCTAAACAGCCATTGCTGGCCTAGCTGGACCAAGGCCTGTAAGCCATTCTATATATACACACATTTATAGATTCATTCTGTAAGTTCTCTTCCTCTAGAGAACCCTCACTAATACAGATTTTGACACCAGAATTGGTTCTAGAGCAACAGAAGTATAGGATGAGTTTTTTAAGTATCTGGAATAGGTTTTTCAATTTGCCAACACCTACAGTTACAGAAGCCTCTCCAGTCACTGAAATCAGTCCTGGAAACTTTGAAGAGTACTGAAAGCCCATGGTGTGAACTGTTTTACAGACTTAAGGAGACAAATGCATTGGATTCACCATTTGTGAGAGGCATCGGATTGGGTGAGTCTGTATATAAAACTTTTGACAATTTGTAGAAAAACAAGGAAAATTATGACACTGGCTTGTTGCTCATAGCATCTCTGGATAAACTGCCAAAGGAAAAGAATGAGCTCTATAATAATTATAAAAAAAATAATCAACTTTTAGCTTTCCAAAAATATGATGAATGACAACAATGAATTCATCTATACACACACACACACACACACACACACACACACACACACACACACATATATCCGGGTGTCCGTGGCACACACCTTTAATCCCAGCACTCGGGAGGCAGGCAGTCAGGTCTCTGTGAGTTCAAGGCCAGCCTGGTTTACAGAGGGAGTTCCAGGACAACCTCCAAAGCTACACAGAGAAACCCTGTCTCAAAAAAACAAAACAAACAAACAAAAAATAGCAATAATATTTTAGTTACAGATAGCTAAGAGCCAAGTATGGTCTAACTTCATTAAATAGAATAACCCAAACTACTTATGTTATTTTCCTTTACCTTTCTATGAGTTCAAAATACAATTTGGAGTGTTTGCAGTATGTACCTGTGTGTGCACCTAAGCAAGGGCATGTGGGGCTCAGAAGAGAGTATTGGATAACTTCTAATGCACTCTTACTTGATTTGGGAGACAATCTCTCACTGAAACTAAAGCTGGCCTTTTGGGCAAGATTGGCTGGCTAGCACGTTCCCAGGATCTGCTATCTCTGCATGCCAACATGGGTGTTGCTCATGCACAGTTTTGACATGGGTTCTGGAAATTGACTCACATCTTCTTGCTTGGATAGCAAATGTTCTTGCCTACTGAGCCATCTCCCCGGGTCTTACAGTTAACTTTTTGAAAGGAATATTTCCAAAGTCAATTAAAATATATAATTCCTATCATGTGAACAAGGCCTTATGTTAATTAAGCATGAGCCTTGAAGTATTCTCTATGAAAATGACCAAAATTTCATGGATGTGGATTTGAAGACAAACTGACAGAAATTGCTAAGCATTTAGGAAAATATTTCTGTACCACAAATGACCTTAGTTACTTCATATTGAACGTTTAAAAAAAAAATGCTGTTATCTGCATGTTTCAAAATTAGAATCACCTTCAAGAAAAGCATGGTTACGAGGTGTTTTTTAATGTTTGGTTCTTTTCTGTAATTGTAATTTCATTGATCATTTGGCTTTGATCTATATTTAAATTTTTGATGTTCTCAACAAACCTTAGTTCCCATATCCTGCTTCCTGAGTCAATGCTTCATTTTTGCTCTTTACTGATGCTTTTTTTTTTTTTCCAGCATAGGCTCCCATGTGCTGTATAGGGTGTGTGTGTGTGTGTGTGTGTGTGTGTGTGTGTGTGTGTAAAGATATATATTCCTTTTGCATTTTCTTTTTTATGACATTATTTTATTTGCATACGTGTTTGTGGGTGTACACGTGGAGGGTGGAGGACAGCTTGTAGGAGGAGTCAGTTCTGTTCCTTCCACCATGTGGGTCTGGGGATCAAATAGATATCAGGCTTGGCAGCAAGCACCTTTACTCACTGACTCACTGAACCATTGTGTTGGCTACTTTTTCATTAACTCTAAGGTGGCAGTTACTTAGATGTTACAGTTTAGGGTTGTGCTGCCTTTGCTGAAAACTGCAGTTTATTTAATTAGTTTGCTTTCTGATGAATGTTGCTTAGAGGAAGGATGAGGTTGGCCTGATGTCCTCCTTTCTTGGAAACAATTATGGGTTCTGCCCATAGGTCTGAAAAGGCTTTCCTTCATTTCTTATGATCATCTTCTTATCCACAGCCAGGTATGGTAGCACATGCTTAGAATCCCAACTTTCAATATGTATAGGCAAGAAATCAAGGTCAACATCAGCCTGGACTACATGAGACCTTATCTTACTGAAACAACACAAGTAGCTTAACCAGGATATGCCTCAAAATTGAAGATTACATGCCTATTTTCTTTGAACATTTCCTGCAAATCTACTTCGCTCCCTAGTTTTGAGAAATTCTCTTCATTTATTGCTTTATGTACCAGATGAGTGAAACTATTACTGTGTCACTTTTGTGTCACTGGGATAGTGTCTTCTTTGCAGTTACTTTGACCTGTTTCCTCCTGCATTTGTTACAAATCCTGCAGTTCCTTAACTTTACCTGTATAACTGAAACTTACTGAGGCCCTGCTCTGTGCCAGGCACCTTTGCCTCTATAATGTTTATATTGAGACGACAAAACAGATGAGTGTGACAGGAAGTAGTGGTGAGAAGAACCCAGATCGACACCAAGAAGGCAGGAGATAACTTCCAGTGGTTCTCAACATGTGGGTTGTGACCCCATGGGGGTCACATATTAGATGTTTACATTGCAATTCATAACAGTCACAAACTTGCAGTTCTGAAGTAACAACAAAATAGTTTTGTGGCTGGGGGGGGGTCACCACAACATGAGGAACTTTATTAAAGAGTCACAGCATGGAGAAGGTTGAGAACCATGGCTTTAGATAGAGTTGTTAGGAGACTATAAATTTGAATTTGAGAAGAGAACTGAATAAAAAGAGGTTGTATACTAGGCAAAGGCCCAGGCAACCTAATGAGAATAGCATCTGAAAAGGCCCAAGGGAAAGCACTGTGTTCACGGCAGAGGGAGGAGACTGTGGTAGAGTGCTTTCTTAGCACGAATAAGGTCCTGTATCTGATCCTCATAACAGCAATAATAACTTTTTAAAAAGTGAAATGCGTTACAAGAGAAAAGATGGGAGAAGAGACTAGAGAAATAGGTTTAATCACAAAAAAATTGTAGGCCATAGAAAATATTTCAAGAGCAGCCACAGAGTAGAAAGAGTGTATCTTGCCAGGGAATATTAACACACATCTTTAATCCCAGCATTGGGGGTGGGGGTCAGGGACAGGGCAGAGGCAGGAGGATCTCTGAGTCTAAGATCAATCTGGTCTATACAGTGAGACCATGTCAGGGCAGGGGGATGGAGGAAGGAGAAGGATTTGGTCAAGCAGATATAGGACTGAAAAAGGAAAACATTACCAAAGTAATGGAGCAACCTCTGTTAGCAGTTACTGTTCTTGCTACTGGGAAAACGGGGATGGGGGGGGGGCTTGCCACTTGCTGCCCCTGTACTTAGGAGGACAGCTGGGGTGATGCTCTGGGGGCCTGGAAATGAAGCAGTGCTTACCTCTCCTTGTTCTTCCTTGATGGGACACAGAAGGAATTCAGTTGGAAAAGTGGAAGTAGATTTTTCAGAGCACCAACCACAGCAACACAGAAACAGAATCTAAAAGGGTTTGTTGCTAATAGGCAACAGTAAACTGGTACAAAGAGGATTAAATGGTGATTTTAGATTTTTGTTTTTTGTTTTTTTTTTAACCTAGCCATCTGATTAATATTGTGACATCTGACAAGATAAAGAGAAAAATGAATGAATGAATGATGATGATGATAATTCAGTAGTCCTTATTAGACATTCAAGAGGAGTTATTGGCCAAACCAATGAAGTAGAATCCAGAACTCAACAGATGGATCAGGGACAGAACACTAATTCTAAGACTCCTAAAGGCTCACAAAACATAAACATGCCAAGTGTGGGTGAGATGAGCTTGGGGGCAGAATGAACCTCCACAGACAGGAAACAAAGCTTTGGTCTATAATCCTGGTGACAGGGGTCAGGGTAGGGTGTTCCAAACATTTGTAAAGAGCAAAATTATCTAGAAAAGAGCTTGTAATGGTTACTTTTCCATTGCTGTAATAGAAAACTATGACCAAGGCAACTTATAAAACTGTTTAATTGGGCTTACAGTTCCAGGGGGCCCCAGGGATATACATGATACTCAACATCCCAGGAGACAAAACACCCTAAATCTAAAAAAATTTTTTCTTCTATTTTTACTGAAAATTAACACTTAAGAGACTATACTTAGGCCAGCCAGATGGTTCATGGGGTAAAAGCGCTTCATCATTCATGGGAATTCAAACTAAAGCATCAACTCTCAGACACTGTGCTCTGACTTCCATACTCACGCACTAGCATGGGCCAGCACATACTTTCTCTTGAGCACAACGTTTCTAAATCTTGAAGTTGCTACTGGCAGCTCTCTAGTGTCAGTCATATACTACAGAATGCTAGTGAAGAAAGGGAACTATGAAGCCACGCAATCCAACTTGTTAGAATAGTTGAGAAAAATATAATTGAGAAGAATATGATTCAATTCACCAACCTAGCTATTTGGGTAGAGGAGGCTCTTAACGTTCTTGTTACAGACTCAAAACCAGTGATGGTTACATATTAAACAAAATCCAAGGAAAAGACCTGATTTAAGACCTCATCTTACCTTTCCTCTTAGAATATTTTTAAGATTTAAATTTGTTTTTAAATGGCTTTTTAAAAATCATTTTAATTAAGCATATGTGTGAGTCTATTTTAGTGCTTGTGGAGGCCAGAAGGTGTGCCAGATTCCCTTTAACTGGAATTACAGGTGCTTGTGAGCTGCTTAGTGACTGCTGGGAACAGAGCTCCAGTCTTCTGGAAGAACACAGCAAGTTTTTAACCACTGAGCCTCCACTGCAGCCTTCCTTTCAGGGTTCCTAGTGAATATCATTTCAGTATTGTGTCTGTGAACACACAAAGTGCCTTTACACTCCTTGGTGCTCATCCACCATGAAACCCATGAACAATGGGAGCCAGTTTGGCTAAGCTGCATCACACCACTCCTGGAAGGAATATTAGTCACACAGCTTCTCAACCATGGCAATACATTCACACGTTATAAAATAAATGCTACCCACCAAAATTGTGCACTATAAGGACATTGCATTTGTTAAATTAGGTTAGACTAATTGCTGTAATAGATCAACTCAAAATAAACAATGCTTCAAATTTGTTTCTTCCTGAAGGGAATTGATAGTTCAGTAAGGAGTTTTGGAGACCTGTCTTCATTTAGGCTTTTAGAAATGGATGTTCCAAGACTTCCTAGGGGTCTTCTGTTGTAGTATGTTGGAAGGAGA